CCTCGAATGGGAAACGGTCTCTGGCAAGAATGCAGTGCGAGTTTGGAAGGGTCAACAGGCCGCAGACATCCGCGCTAGGCACCCAGATAGGTTCATAGGTAGCCGCTTTGTTATCACCAATAAATGCGATGAAGATGGGGAGAGAATCAAAGCTCGGTGGTGTCTGCAAGGACATCATGACCCCGATTTCGATGCCAAAATTCGCTCAGGCGAATGCCATTCGCCCACGCTGAGTCAATTGTCCAGATCTCTTCTCCTACAGGTCCTGGTGTCCCGCAAATGGACCATGCATTTAGGCGATATTAAAGGAGCGTTTTTGGAGGCCGGGCCTATTCCAGACAAGTACAGACCGCTCTTCGCGCATCAGCCGCCGGGAGGAATCCCCGGCCTAGATCCAAATGATGTAGTGGAAATCCTAGGCAACCTTTATGGTGCCAATGACGCTCCGTCACAGTGGTACCGTGAGTTTGATGCTCAGGCTCGCGCCGCGGGATTCACCAAAAGCATGTTTGATCCCTGCCTCTACTACTTTCGTGACTCCTCCTCTTCCGCAGTTTCGGGGGTACTGGGCGCCCACGTTGACGACACTATAACAGGGGGGGAGGGTGAGCAGTATCAGGCGGCGATTGCGAAACTGCGTGCGCGTTTTCCGTACCGCAAGTGGCGCACAGGTACCGGTGAGTTTTGTGGCACCATGTACAATCAAGACCCTAGGACCTTTGAGATCACTTTTCATCAAGAGACCTATGCCAAGCACTTGAGGCCCATAAGTCTGACTAAGGAGCGCCAGCGTCAGAGAGAGAGCACTGAGAGCAGTCAACGGTGCGGCCAACTGGATCTCCTCCCAGACTCGTCCAGACCTGTGTGTACAGACCTCGTTTTCGCAGCAATCCTTCCCGACACCCAAAGTGAAAGACCTGTTGTATGCTAACCAGCTAGTGCATCGTGCCCGACAATATGCCGACGTTAGCATCACAGTTCGTCATATTCCCTGGAAGGATTTGTGCATTGTCTTTCACTCAGATGCCGGGTTCGGTAATGCTTCCCAGAGCAAGACCCAAGCTGGGTATGTAGTGGCGTTTACCGATAAGAATCTGGAGAAAGATCATCAAGCGGTATGGTCCCCTGTAGCCTGGAAATCCCTCAGACTTCCCCGAGTCGTAGCCTCTACTCTTGCTGGAGAGA